TGCATTTCGCGCACTCGACACGCGCGATCTCCGCAGAGGGTTGCGCGGGCATGGCACAAATCGTGCTCTCGCCTGCATTTCGCGCACTCGACACGCGCGATCTCCGCAGAAGGTTGCGCGGGCACAGGCCAAATCGCACTCTCACCTGCATTTCGCGCACTCGACGCGCACGATCTCCGCAGAGGCTTGCGCAGGCATGGAACAAATCGCACTCTCGCCTGCATTTCGCGCACTCGACACGCAGGATCTCCGCAAAGGGTTGCGCGGTAACTTCACAAATCGCGCTCTCGCCTGCATCTCGTGCACTCGACACGCACGATCTCCGCAGAGGGTTGCGCGGCAATTTCACAAATCGCGCTCTCGCCTGCATTTCGCGCACTCGACACGGACGATCTCCGCAGAGGGTTGCGCGCGCACAGGCCAAATCGCACTCTCGCCTGCATTTCGCGCACTCGACACACACGATCTCCGCAGAGGGTTGCGTGGGCACAGGCCAAATCGCACTCTCGCCTGCATTTCGCGCACACGACACGCACGATCTCCGCAGAGGGTTGCATTTTCGGTTGACGCTGTTCGTCCCACCCTCCGCCTTTAAGAGAGAATTTATAAAGTGGGGAAATGTTTTTCATTAGGACATCTCACGTGCAAGTTTTCCATACTCACACTTGCATACTCATTGCATACTCATTACACTTGCATACTTTTGCACTTGGATACTTGCCGTTGGATGCTTTCATGCACTTGGATACTTGCCGTTGGATGCTTTCACTCTTCCACTTACACTGGGGTACGTATAGAAGTGTAAGTGTTCATGTTCATGTTCAAGTGTAAGTGTAAAAGCGTAAGTGTTCAAGTGTACGTGTCGAAATGTCAGTGTTCAAGTGCAAGTGTGGAAGTGTCAGTGTGTAAGTGTAAGTGTCGAAGTGTCAGTGTTCAAGGGATTTTCCGGAAGAACCCTTCGCAATGCTTTCGGGAAACATATATTCGTTAAATCATAGAAAAATTTAGTAATACGCAAATAAATATATAGTATAGTAAGTAATTCCAAAATATATATATATATCTATTTATTAAAAAAAATAAATAATTCTAGAAAATCCTATTTTTAAAAATATCAATCTCCATATATAATAATTCAACAAAAAAAATCAACATTTATTATACGTAAAAGTAAAATAAATCTATATAAATAGAATTCCAAATTTCCCAATACAAATAATCATTTGTTCATTTCCAATATCTAAATATTAAATGCATCCACGCGAAATAGAATCCTATCGTAAAGGAAAAAATTAACTATATATATATATAGTGTTTTTAAAATTGCAATAATTAATATATAGTATATTTTATTTTCAAGAAATTGAATATTTATCGCCCTACCATCGGCATAAGCCAAATGAAATTGAAGCTTTGGAAAGAGACGCTTGAATTGCGCGATGACGCAAATACATGAAATACAAGGATAGTGCGTGACGTAGAGATATATCTTCCCTTGAAAATCTAGTCCTCTTTCAGGATGTCCTTCTTGAAGCCAATCTGCAGCTATATGAAGCAAAGCACTGCGTTCCGCATGTCCACTACGATCATGCTCGCCAATCATGTTGGGAGCAATACGACTCTTGGTCACCATGGGCCTCAGGAGGTTAATGATCATGGGAGAAAGTTTAGATATCTCTGCTTCAAGTCGCCAACCAAAAGCTCGACCAAGTTCTTTGTGTTCACCAACACTGGAGCTCACTTGAAAGCGAACCCATGCGACAATTTCACGCTTGTTGACTTTATCAAGCTGTCGCACAAGCTTTTGCTGCTCCACAGGAGCATCTTCTTCTATACCAGCTTGGATGGCCCGTTCTCGTTCCAAGGCACATGCATGGACGGCTTCTTCCACCCAGCCTCCTGCTTCATGGCGAGGATAAACCTGCACAGAGCTGATTCCAATTCGTCTCAGGAAGTCTGCTGTAAAGCCAGCGCCCAAGTGATCTATGTCCAACTGTGAAATGCAGGTCTCTACGCTGGACCAATCACCATGAAGTATCGCCTCTGCCAGAGGATCGAAGACGTGTCTCTCCAACACAGAAGTTAGGTTCTTCCATCCAGCTTCCAGCTGATCTGCAAAGGATAGGGCTGCATTGCCTAGAATCAAGAATTCACGAGCTCCGACATTCCCGAAACCTTTCTCAAGAAAGAGATCAATCGCAGCTTTGCAAAGTTCTATTTCTGCAAGACCCGTTACGCCTGTTGCCTGCACTGCACTCAGAACTTGCGCCGCATTGTGCGCTGCCTCATCTCTATGGCCACTTGCGCAGCGCCGGGATGTCTCCTCACATGCCACGCGCAGCAATCTTTCACTGTGAATCGCAACATTGGCGAAGGACCAAAGAACATTGCCGATGCCTTGCATATCAAACTCTCGAATGTGATTCTGCGAGTAAGCTGCTACAGCAGTCATCCAGGGTAGGTGACATCGCCCTATGATTGTACTGTATGCCCATGCGGCATTGGCAATCTCTCTGGGTGCACAGCTTTCAATGCCCCTGCCGCCTAGAATCTCATCAACGACCTCATTGAAGAATGTATGATTGCACACACCTGCAGTACCATGAGCCCACAGCATAATGGAGAGCTCGTGTGTCTTAAACTCTGTAAGTCCCAGTGTCAGGGCATGATTGGCTGACTTCAGAAATAGCCAAGGCAATCGTACGCATGCAGTTGCGTAGGCCCACAACATGTTATTCAGCTCTTGAGCTTTGCACTCAGATAGTCTCTGTACAAATGGATCTGCTGCTTGATGGAAAAATGACTCGCCCCGGAGTTCTAATGAAGCGAGTGACCACACAGCGATTGCCACGTTCTGACCGGACATTTGCCAAATCATGCCCTTTCCCAAGGAAGTTAAAAATGATATCACATTGTCATGGTGCAGGACTGCTGCAAACGCCCAAAGCGTGTTTGCCACATCCAGGGGCTCAAACTCGTCTTTCTTTCTCAAGCTGACCTCCTTGGCAACAATCCTGAACCAAAGCTCCTCAGTATAACAAGCTGTTGCATAGGCCCAAACGGCATTGGTAAGTCCTTGCACACTAAATTCGCTAGCCCTACTGCACACAGCAGTTGCAAGCTCGCGAAATGCAGAATCATGGCTGATTGCTTGCTCAGAGAGTGCTAACGAATACAGCAGCGTTGCAATGTTTCTGGTGTCGCTGTGTCTCCACTCAGCCTGTTTCGCCACAATAGCATCTGCAACTTGATCATAAAAATGTTTGTCTTTGTGAGATACCTTTGCCAATGACCAAGCAACTAAGCTGAGATCTATTGGTGCAAGTGTAGCAATGGGTGCATCGGAAGCTACTCGTTGGAATACCACTTCACAATCCGTATAAGAAACGGTCGCAAATCCCCAGAGCAAGTTTGCAAGTTGGCGATCACTGAATTCAGAAACTCGAGTAGCTGAACCCGTTCCCAATACTTCCCACAGAGGTTCATGGCTCAAGACCAAAGCTCCTGCTGCATATGCCACTGTCGCAGTGCTCTGTGCATCAAAGGCCGAGCTCCCACGGCGGAGAAACTCGCAAACACTCGCATTCGCTGCATCTTCAACATGCGAGGTCTTGCTGCTTCCAGTAGCCATGCTCCAAAGAAGCAATGACAGCTCTTGGCCTTTAAACTCCTCAATGCGGCTGACTGCAGTCTCGAGCAGCGCCTCGAGCAAGCCGGACTTTTTCCAATAAAGTTTTGCCACTGCCCAGCAAGAGTTGGCAATACTTTGCGCACGGAAGCGATCTGGCCGCGTGCGAAGTTCAGCTTCCAAAGTTGATACCAGTCCACTGAACCGCTCCAGCTGAAGTGTGCATGCGGGGTTCGATGCCAATCTGTGCAATGCGGTACACAAACTAAGGGCACTGAATTGGGTGTGTTTGGATTCAATCAACTCCACAAGCTCGTGCATTTGGTCAGGCCCAAATCCTGTCAAACGTTCTTGATAAGTCACCTCCAAGGTGTCTCCCACTAGTTTTTTGGGTCTCTGGGAGCGTTTTGGCGCTGGAATCAACTTCCCAGTTCTGCTAATTTGCGCGGAGCTTTGACTTAAACGATCACTGCCCAGCCACAAGGCTGGAGAACAATAAGATGTCGTCGATCCAGAAGCAGCTGCAGCAGCGGCAGCTTGTGACACCAGACCGGAATGACCACGTCTCGGAAGACTTGGCATTTCCGGGTCGGCCACGGACGTCTTTGATGATCGGGCCGGGCCGGCCACGTCTTCTGTTTCTTGCAACTCTTTGTCCTCGCGCTTCTCTTGCCCTCTCCCATCTCTCCTGGGAGGATAGAAGGACTGCATTGAGGCTACGGCAAGTTGCAGGTCTCAAGAACCTGTGCTTCTCCATTTGCCAAAGAAACCAAAACGATCTGAACTTACATCAAGACAAATAGGTCACCCACCTTCCCAGGCGGTGACAAAGGGAGATTTGACATGAACAGAAGTACCGTCACAGTCTTGTCATTATCTACTGCTGCTGCAGTTCATCTTGCGATTTGAGGGAAATTTGATGTTTGGCCCTTCAAAGTCAAAGTACATCAATGTCTCTGGTTTGCGCTTTGCTTGTCATTGTCCACAAAAGCTCACAGTCCCAGCTACGCTTTCAGTCTCAACAGCCACTCAATTTGTTGCAAGGGAATCTGGAGTACATGGTTGCATTGAAGCAGTTCTTGAGAGCCAAGAGCTTCGAATGTGAGTATAAGTCTACGCTGTTGCCTAGCATCTTGTCCATCATCAATTAAACTAGAAGTGGAAACCAACCCAACAACAACCAAACAGTCAACACAAGTTGAATGCGCCGTGACCGCGACAGAGCAGCGGCTGCGGGCGCTCCTTTTTCACTTGAGCCAAAAGTACAATGTTCATGAACTATGCCTATACATATGAGGTGTACATTACACAGGAAACTTCAAGTCCCCCCTCATAGTGTGATGAACATATGTACAGCTGGTATTTCCAGGTCTGAGACAGTCGCTTCATTGATTGAACCGTCTGTGACCTGACAATTCCTATCGAAAGACTGCAAGCTTACGAACGGTCTTTGGGAGCGGCGCTTAGAGCAGCCAGCCACCCTTCACGCAAGCTTGGCGCTATGCTCGGCAATAGCACTGTGCGGCATGCATTGTCCGGACTTTCATTCAAGGCAGATCAAACTTAGTTTGGAACTGCGGCTGGTTATCGCTTAGCTCTAACCACTTCATTCATTGCAGATCTAGCTTAGCATCGAACTGCGGCAGACTATCGCTTAGCTCTAGTCATGCGAGCTCCTGCCTGCATCATAAGACGGGAGCGGACTCAGGGAGAACTGCAACAACTCTAAAGCATTTCACCATTTGGCTAACGGCAATCCTTTTGTAAACACGTCACCCTTTTGCTGAGTCGTTTCGATATGCTGGACTGTGATGTCATCAGCATTATTTATTGTTTCGGCAGTTGAAGCCACATGCATGCGGTGGGTTTTACTCAAATGCCTCAACTTGTTGGAGTAACCTTTCAGAAGAATCGAGACCACAGCTGTATTGTCTTCAAAAATCTTCAGGGTCATTCCGGGGATCAACTCTTGCCACACTTGCAAGGTTGGGATTGCCTCTGAGAAGAGGGCTGTGGAAAGCGAAACAAACTCGCTCTCCGCTGTTGAACGGGAAACTACGCTTTGCCTCTTAGTACCCCAGCTCACCGGAGCAAAGCTGGAGGGACCCGACACTGCAAGCACGAATCCGGAGGTTGAGCGCATTGACTTGATGTCACCACCGAAGTCGGCATCGCAATACAGGGAGAGATTCAACTGCTCCGGCGGATCACGAATGCACATCACGGGGGAGTACTGATGGGACTTTTGCAAGTACCCGATGAGTCGTGCGACTCTTTTATCGTCGTTGGCTGACCACACCGTTATGTGTTTCGCCAACAGAGTGACAGCGAATGTGACGTCTGGTCTGCTAATGCGACAGAACCACATCAACTTCATTATTCATTTGGCCGAATGTGGCGAGAGCTGCCCCTTGATCTCGTCATCAGCGGGGATCAAGGCTCCGTCGTCCCAGGTGGGCGAGGAGTAGTCCTTTACCGGCGTTTTCGCCAGCTCTTCATACAGTTCCACGCACTGTTTTGCGAAGTCTGATGATTCTAAGGCCACTGCTTTGCTCCCTTGAAACCACACAAGCCTATGGTTTCGTCCTAAGACTCTTCCATATTCTGACGGCGGATCTAAATTTATATACTGCTTGAGGGTTTTCCAGAACCCTTCGTGTTCGGGAGGCCTTGCCTGAGAGAGTAAGGTCGTCTACGTAGACGCTCATGACCAGAGAACGACCGAACCGGAAAACCGAGGGCATCTCACTAAACTCGACACCGTTGAGTTTTTCACGCAAGATCCTGGAAAGGTGGGCCTGCCAGTGCGCAGACGACTCTGGATGGCCATAAAGGCTCTTGTACAGCTGAGCGCAAGGCATGTGGACATGTTTCTTGGGTTCCGGCGCAAGCTCAGGCGGTAGCATCACGAATGTTCGATGCTTCGCGCCAAGCGCCGACTGAATATATGCCCGGGCGCAATCAGATGTTGAACAAATGTTTCCCTCGATCATCGAAAAGGCTATCACTGTGTTCAGCGCTGCAATTGAACTCGGAGCGGAAGCAGCAAGATCCTGGAAGATGGCGCTCAAGCCCCCCTGCTCTTGCCCAAGCTGCCCATGTTCGTGGGCACCACTCACATCTGCACCCAAGTCAAGTACAGCGTTGTAGTTCAGGTCCAACTCGCAGATGGCCTGGATCTCAAAGGTCTCAACCTTGGAGGTCTTGAGGGCGATGAAGTCCACGTTCTCGAAGAGGTCGTTGTAGTCCATCTTGTCGTCAATGAGGTCGATCTTGTGGGCGGAGTCATCCTCCATGGTCCAGTAGTCGTCCATGTCGGTCTTGGTGGGGTCAAAGCGCTCAACCATGTCCTCCTCGGTCACCACCATCTGAAAGCCTTCTGTGAAGCTCTCCTCAAATGTCAATCTTCTTCTGCAAGATCAAAGATCTCGCAGGCTTCCAACATGGGAGGCTCACCGTGCCAGCGCTTCTGTGAGAAGCGTTGCTGCTCGGTGCTGTACTTGCCGAAGACGATGAAGTCCTCGTGGAAGGTCCAGAAGGTTGCCCTCCACCATTTCCTCCATGATCTCCCTGATCATGCCCTTCAACTTGCTGAACTTGGTGTCCACGTTGCCAACATTCAGCTGCTCTGTGGCCTGTTTTGCAAGGTCCCTTGGACTTGCCTTTGCCTTTGGCTCTGGCCGCCACCTTTTCCTTTGCCCTTCTCAGAAGAGCCTTTGCCTTTGCCCTTGCTCTTGCCCTTGTCACCCTTGGCTTTGGGCGGGCCTTTCTTGCCTTTGCCCTTGTCTTTGCCTTTTCCTTTGTGGTCGCCTTTGATGCCATTGGCACGATCTGGTTGCGCTCGAGGATCTTGGCGCTTGACCAGGCAGCCGTAGATTGCTCATAGGCCGCTGTCGCAGCTGCCCCGGACAGCAACGCATGACCGTTGCTATCTTCAAATTCTCGCTCGTACTCACCGACCAGCTTCTCATACTTCATGATCCCTTCAAGGATCTTGCCCTTCTCGAACTGCGGAAAGGCCACCAATGCCTGGATGATTCCAAGCTCTCTTTGCCTTGTCTTGCTGGAACTCCCGACAAAGCCCTTGCCAGGCTCGAAAGCCATCAGTGTCCGTGACACTCCGGACGATCCGAAGCGGTCGCCCCTTCACGAAGCTAACCAAGTAGGCATACAGCTTCTTTGCTCTCTTCTGAACTTCCTCCTTGTAGTCGCTCAGCTTGAGGTCCTGCTCCAAGTCCTTCTCCACGTGCTCCAGGTCGTTCATGAACTCCTCCTCAATGAAGGACCATTCAGGCCATGTAGGCTGCTCTTCATCGACAGTCCCTGGAGACCAAACTTCAGGCTTCAGCAGGGTCCTGGGATCGGCCTTGCTGCCGTCCTTCTCCTTCTCTTTGTCACCCAGCTTCTGCAAAGTCTGGGCACAGACTCTTGTGAACCCATGGAGCTCTGCCACCACTTGCTCCATGCCAGCCATGGGGCTTCAGCCCCCACCAGTGACCCTGCCCTTGAGGTAGTCACTTGCAGTGATTGCACCACTGCCACTTGCTGCGCCGCAATGGCTCGTGAGGCTGAGGATCGGGTCCTGTCCTCTTAAAATGGGATTGGGTCCTGTCCCTGGAGCTCCCCTGGGACCAAGTGGAATCAGGATCCTTGCTCCGCTACCATCTAACAGAGCGGGCTCTTTTCTCACTTGAGAAGTCGCGGCCTTGTACAGGCACTTCTAGGTTGCATGACTCAACATGTTTTACATGGAGTGTAGGGTGCACACATCTTGTTCTCACAGTGTTACATAAAAGATCCCTTTTGCATCTCAACTGAGGTATGTTACATTGGCATGGCTCCTGCCTGAAGGGTATGCTACGTTGGAACACCTCCGGTCTTCTCCAATTCTCACCCTCGGGTGGCTCACAAAGGGTATGCTACGTTGGAATCTAAATTTGAACCTCCGGTGGCTCACAGAAGGTATGCTACGTTGGAATGGCTCCTGTCTTCTCTAAATTTTACCTGCGGTGGCTCATACAAAGTATGCAACAGCTACGGGCTCCTTTCTTCTACTCTAAATTTGACCTTCTGTTGGCTTAGAAAAGGTACGCTACGTTGGAATGGCTTCTCCTCTAAATTTGACCTTCAATGTTGGTCGTCTCTATGGAGGTCTGCTACATTGGCATGGCTCCTTCCTGCTTTAAAGCCAAGAAACAAGCCAGTGACACATCACATCCACCATACAACCAGAAAAAAATAACAGTGACAGATTACACAAAAACACCAATAAACAAGGAAACAAACAAAAAACATAAACACACTGAGAGATCACGCGGAAGAAAAAACAACTGAAAAAAAAAAAAAAAAAAAAAAAAACGGGAGGCAAGGAAAAACACCAAAAGAAAAAATACAGTGACAAATCACATAGAATAAACAATATAAACACTGAAAAACCAAGAAGATAAAGAAAAAAACGGTGACAAATCACAGAGACGATAAATAAAACAAACCAAACCACTGAAATACCTAGACGATGAGGAAAGGAAACTGAAAAAAGTTATTTTGTTAAAGTAAAAGAAGTGACAAATAAGAATGAAAACTTTTCATATGGATGCAGGGCGTTCCAAAACGAGATTAATATCTCGCGTTCCAAAACGAGATCAATCTCACGTTCCAAAACGAGGTGGTTTCCTTTACGCAACTGCTTTGAAACGGCAAAGCAACGAGAAGACCTATCGACAACAGTGCTTTTGTGGCGAATCGCGCTTGCTGCCAAATGTCTGGTTTGAGCTTGGCTTTTGAAGCTCTCGCACCTTCTCCAAGTCAGCTTCGGTGAGGAACTCTTTGTCCCCGGTGCTGTGGACGAATTCAACAAACTCTTGAAAGCTGATAAAGCCATCTTTGTCGGTATCCAGCATTCCAAAGAGAGAGTCCAAATATCAGGGTCCTTGCAAATGATTCCGAGCAGGAAACATCTGATAGATAGCCACTGTGAGGCACGGACCAAGCCCAAAATAGACAGCAAAACATCCAGTTCTTCTTTCTCAATGAGACCTCAGGAATGCCAACTGATCCTACCTGTCCAAGCAACAAAAAAGCAATGTGGCAATTTGCTTGGCATCAACCCCACCTTGACTCATACACAGTCGCTTTAATTCAAAGGCACCAGAGCCATCCTGATCCACAATGGTGAACCTAAGACCCCCAAGCCAGCAATGCACAGGGTCGATCAGTCCCCATCACCCCATCCATTCTGAAAAGGAGGGTCCGCTCATCCAACAAAATATTCACAACGTATTTCAGAAAGGCAGCTGCTCCTTGATCCGCTGGATCTCTTCACTGGTGGGTCCCATGGCTGGCGGAGTAGCCCATTCATGCACACCAGCAAGCAGCTTAGGCAGGTTCTTGGGATATCTCTAGCTTCGATCAAAAGGCTTGCCACACTTGGCACCTACTTCTGGCATGACATTTCAGAGCTGAAAGGCGGCGCACAAGTGTTGGAGATGTTGAAACCTTGACTGCGTAAGCTTCTCCAAATGAAGCACGGGCTGGATCTTTCAACTCATTCTAGGAGACCAAGAGAGTTGCTTCTTTCCATCTCTTGCTTTTCTTGATGCCTTCGGCAGTCAAGAGCAGCTGCAGCCACCATGAGAAGCGCCTCAAACTGCATCCAACTGCTTGAGGCAAAAGCAGGTTCTAATCTTGTCATTCAGTCAAGTTGACAGTGTTACATAAAGAACTTCTAAGTCTTTTCTTGTGGCTTCTCTACAGCCTTGGTGACCCAGCCTGGCGCTCTCCATGAGGAGATCTATCATGTTGCACCGAAATGGGAACGAGTCCCCAGTTTTCACCATCCTCATCTCCTCGGGTGAAAGAATTCAGTCATTGAAGAAAGTGGCAAAACTCACCAAGGCTGGAGCCCAGCCGATGAGCACTGGATCGACTTCGGCATGACGCGACCACCTGTCACAGAGTGCAAAAAGTACATTTTATCCAAGTGTGAAGAAACTCTCTGGACCACTGCTCAAGCCACCTCCTTCCGACGCAAAGAAAATGCAAACCAAGCTGTCAAGGCCTTAGAAGTGGCGAAACACGACAGAAAGCACTTTACCAAAAGCTTTTCATGACCTGAAGTATTAAAGTATCCGTTTTGCCAGCTGATGACTTGTGCAATGGCATCCAAGGATGGCTGCACTTTTGCTGCCTCGGAGAAAAAAGGGGAACAGTCTCGGAGTCAGGACTAAGCTGACTAAGCTGAAGACCTGAATTGATCTCCTGCTTTTTTGTCGTGCTCTGGCACACCAGCCGTCTTGCGCCTTGCTGCGCTCAAACCCACAAGGTCACCGAAGTGCTCACGATCCGCCTCGCAAGCCATGTCAAGCGTCTGTAGAGCCTGCGCCGTGGGCGAGCACAATACACAACAAGCAGCGTCCACTGTGAAAAATGCTGGCAAATGGATACGAAGGGAAAAGATAGGAGAATGCTGGCAAATGCCCTGCACCTGAAGGGTTGTAGCAATGCTGAGAACTGGCCATGGCTCGTCCAATGCCATGTCTTGCCTTGGCAGTCAGTTCTGCTTCACTTCTGCGTTCCCGTTCAGCTTCACTAAGGTCCAGGCGTTATGTGGCAAAGCCTTCTCAACCTGAAGCTCGCAGAGTAATGTCGTGACTTTTGCAGGAAATTCAACTACGAAGCAGTTTTGCTTGATGTGGAAGACTGGCCTGAGCAAGACTGGCCTCGCTATCAAATCAAGGATTGCCTGCAAGCCAGGGCATGGAAAAATCCGAACACATCCAAACAAGCGTGAGCTGCCACTCTTGTGTTTGACACGTTGATGTGGTGAGTTCCCCGTGAGTCTTGTGAAATGCATGTGTTCGCCTTCAAAGACATGGTCATCCTTTCATGCAGCTGTAGAAGATCGACTCCGGCAACAGCCTTGTAGCAAGGCCGTCACAGCAGGCCTTTCTTGCACACAGGTAAAACTGAAACAGTATTGGAGAACTTGTCTGATAAATCCTTTCAAGTCTTTGGCTGTACAAACCGGAAGAAGTCTGAGTAAGTGGCATGGTGCGATTCTCCATCTGGCAGAATTTTGTCCTTATCAGCCCCATGTCACTAGCAGGTCACTTGCCTCTTCGGATGTTGAATATTGAAAAAACATGAATCACGACTGACTCCTTGGAAGACTTCCTGGAATTCAGCCAGTCAAACGCACCGCCTCGAAATAGCTGCACTGCCATCAATGCGGTTGTTTTCGCTCAGAGGCTCAGCAAACACTTTTGCAACACACAGAGGCGCAAGCTTCCAATCTCTATCAGCAGTGAGTGTGCACCTCAAGACACTCTCTTGGGTGTGAGCACTGAGAGCAAACAAGAAAAATAAAACGGGGCCCACTAGGTCTTTCACTTGAAGAGTTGCAAGTCAGCTCCTGAATATCCAGCACCTTGCAAAGCCAAAAGAAAACTGTCTGCTTGTGGAGAAAGCCTTATCCATCTGAGATCTGTACAAGACTCAGCACTGACAAGTCGGTATCCTCCGTGATCCACCCAACACAATATCATTCAGTGCAGCTTGTTTCCTTCCAGACTTGCCTTGGAAGAAACGAGTTCAACTCACCACACCACGCCTCCATTTGGCTGAGGAAGCCCAAAGCCTCCACTCTGCTAAGCTCGTCCATCCATTTGTGGCTGCATATGACAAATTGAAAATGCTTCAACTTGTTATTTCCTGCTTCTCGCTTGAGTGTCCCACGTGCTCCAAGGACTGGCTGCCACTCATTGCACCATCTCGACACGCATTCAAAGCGGCACAAAGCATCAATGAATCTGGCCTGAGCGAACAGCCGGAGACAAGACCAGACGAGAGGGTGAGAACTTACAAAACATATGTCCAACAAATTTCCGGTCTCTACTTTGATCTACTTTGCGGCTGTCTCTTTGAGCTGTGGGCTTAAGATTCCTTGCTGTGGCCTCCGCTATGTGATGAGTTTCTTGGCTATGGTAAGCAGTCTTCCGCTGCCAAATCCTGCCTCTCCCAACAAAGACAGTGAGAAGATCCAACGTCCAGTGCGCTCCTCAGCCTGAACCAGTGACTCGGTGCGTTCAACGCCCTGCTCTCAAGATGCTGCTGGTGCCCTTCCTGACCTCGCTTGCCACGCTGGACCCAGCGAGTGCCACCATTGCTGAAGAGACTCCTTCAAGTCGATAGCCAATACCTGTGGCGAATCAAGGATTTGCAAGAAGACTCCAGACCTTGGAGCAACCTCCACCTCCTTTCGACCCCTCAAGAATTGTCTTTGAGCACATCTTTGGAAAAGGATAACGTGTTTTTAAAAAACGACATCAACGACATCAACGACATCTGCGGTCTCGGTGTCCGGTTTTGGGAGCCTTGGTGGCCTGGTGCATGGAGCGATGCCAGACCTAACCACCAACGGGCAGAGCCTGCACCAGCTCCTCCAAGCGCGTGTGGAGCAAATGCATCAAATCGGGAGGCTGCTGTGGCATTTTCGAATGGACTTTCCCAAGCTGCGCACCGTAAGCTGCTGTGCAAACTGCATAGCTCACATCGTCCGGACGAAGGAAGCGACCTTGGTCCGCTCTAGATGCTGTCCAAGGCCACTTGGTGTTTCCGTCCAAGGTCACAACGCTTTAATGTTCGAAGCAACGCGATGGCATCCTGTGCAAAAGGAAGTAAAACCCAACTACGCGCAGTCAGCGAAAGATTCAAAGGTGAGCCTGCCACGCATCTGCTCGCTCGCCAGCTGTCAAAGCAGCATTCAAGCTGATCACCTGCAGTGACAACAAGTTATTTCAAGTTATTGCAATCTATCATATATATATATACATACATATTATATATCTATATATATTGTATATCCGCCGACCCCGGCCTAGCCAAAGCCTAGGCGGGGAGGCGCCCGAGACACCGCAGGGTGCAACATTGGCATTGGCATCTCTACCTCTGCTTTCATGTCCTGGCACTACCACCAAGCCGTGGGCGGTTCATGTCCTGGCCGAGCCACCACCCCCGTGGGCTGTTGACTTTTTTGAGCCGGAGCCTTGGGAGTGAGCCAGGCAACTAGAGCCCTCACTGCGAAACCCGCTGGCTTGCTGCACGCGCACCCCCCTGAAAGCTGTGGCGACACAGATTGGCGGAGCCTTGGGAGTGAGCCTCTGGCAATGCCAGGCAACTGTTTTATGGGCTCCGGAAGGCGACGTGCCAGGTGACGTCAGGCATTTTGTTTGGCTGCACCCCCCCGTTCCGACCGCTCTTGTGGGCAGAAATAGATGGTGTCGTTTGCCACCCCGGAAATGCGCCGCTGCGGCTGCATTCTGCCTACACGCACACCTCAGCCGGAGCCGCTGGCACACAGATTGCCGGAGCCTTGCGAGTGAGCCTGGCAATGCCAGGCAACTGTTTTATGGGCTCCCGAAGGCGACGTGCCAGGCAACGTGCCAGGTGACGTCAGGCATTTTGGTTGGCTGCACCCCCCCCGTTCCGACCGCTCTTGTGGGCAGAAGTAGATGGTGTCGCTTGCCACCACGCACACCTCAGCCGGCAGCCTTGGGACAGAGCCACTCGCACACACGAGCCACCACCCCGTGGGCTGTTGGCTTTTTTGAGCCTAGGGAGTGAGCCTCTGGCAATGCCAGGCAACTGTTTTATGGGCTCCCAAAAGGCGACGTGCCAGGCGACGTCAGGCATTTTGGTTGGCTGCACCCCCCCCGTTCCGACCGCTCTTGTGGGCAGAAATAGATGGTGTCGTTTGCCACCCCGGAAATGCGCCGCTGCGGCTGCATTCTGCCTACACGCACACCTCAGCCGGAGCCGCTGGCACACAGATTGCCGGAGCCTTGGGAGTGAGCCTCTGGCAATGCCAGGCAACTGTTTTATGGGCTCCCGAAGGCGACGTTCCAGGCGACGTCAGCAGGCAGCAAGGGGGTCGGCGCACCAGGGCGAAGCCCTTACAATATCATGTGATCTTGCAAGGCTCTGAGTTGAGTGCATCCTGTTTGAGGTTCAGCAATGATGTCCTAGCAGCTTTCAAACAGTGTTTGGATGCAAACTTGGTTTGAGTTTGAGGCACCTCTCCAGCAAAAGTAGCCCTTTTCTCCAAAGCTTCGCTCGCGAACATGCAGATATCCCGGAGTTGAAATGCACCTTGACTGGGGGATTCAATCCATGTGAATGATCAAACCTGGATCGGAATGTCCGCAGTGCCAGTTCTACTCAGATTCTAACAACATCAGGAGCCACTTCAGAGCAGCTTGACCTCCCCAACCTAAGTCGAGGAGAAAGGAAGTTGGCGTCTAATTAAAAGGCAAAGGCTTTTGAAAGAGCACGCGTCTTCCAACAATTTGGCTACACAAAAGCAAAACTGACCTGAGCCTGAGTGCCACACAGTTCTAAACATTGCTGCCACTGATTCGCATTTTGGCAAGCTGCAACGGTTGCACCTGGGCTAATCGTCGGCTTGGAGGCAAAGCAACGCTGCAGCAAGGCCAGGCTCACCAGAGCTAGTAGAATCTAGAAGTCCTCGCCCGGTCTCCTGCCAGAGCCACCAAAGCATCTAGAACTTTGTGGTTAAACTTTTTCTCACTGAGCTCCTTCAACAGAAAGGTTGCACTCTGCCAAAGGGCTCCAAGCCTTATTTACAACAAAACCTTTGCTGAAAAGAGACAACAAATATCAGAGTTGGAACAACCTGCAGGAAACATGTAGCCCGTTCTGAGCAGGAATCTTGCATGCCAGAATCGTGCTTGCAACAGTAACCTGCAAATCATGCGCGCAATGCCACGCTACAGAGCGAAATATGTGTTGATGTTTATTCTTTTTGCTCCATCTCTTGTTGCCTCGTCTGGCTCAAGGTGGAAATCCTGCAGCTTCTAGTAGATCAACCCACGTTGTTGAAATTCGATCAAAGGTTTAATGCCAGTCTTTTCCTGCATCTCCGACATCAACTTGAGAGCACGATGTGCCTGCATGCCTTGGTGTGATGCCCATAGGTCTCAGGCAAAAGGTTTGGTCTCCCCACAGTGTCAAAGCCGCATCCTGGCCAAGCATCCGTTTGTGCAGGTGGTGATAGCCGCATTGTAAGACACCTCGGCAAGTCTGGATAGGTTGAACATGAGGTTCTTGATTGAGTCGACAACCTCCCACACTTACATTTCTAGCAAAGAGGGCCCAGGCCAAATCACAGTTTTGGAAGGCCAGCATCCTCGCCTGAAAGAAAGAGTGAGAAGCTCAGCACCACAAGCTGGCCAAGATAGTCCCAAGGTCGTTACTAAAAGGTCCAGCCCAAAGTACCAAGCAGCTGCACGCCCGCAAGCACTGATAGCTGCCTCAAAGCAAATCAGCTTTACAAGCGTCCATTCATCGGTAGTTCATCATTCATTGCCTTCTTATTGCATGTACGTCTACCTACCTGCTATGTCTGCAGTCTTCCGGTATTCAGCTGCTTGGAACGCCACATTGCAGGACACCAAACTTTGTTCCAAGCCAACATAGGTGCTCTGCTTCAGGGCCTTGAGCCGAAGCAGGTTCAAACATGCTCAGTTGACTAAGCAGACTCAACTTGTTCATGTCCCAAAGTTCTCAAACATTCATCTCTCCACCTTGTATTCGGTAAGTGTCAATTCCCCTTCACATTGAATGCTTCGCAGTCCTGAACAGCAGACCACCAAATGGACGCCTGTGGCAAGTCTCAGCCAACATCGCACAAGCTGTAAAGCAACGTGCCTCTTTGTAGACATTAATGAGGCTTCCAAACACGATCACATTCTGCTCAACGCTGGCAGCCTGCTTGATTCCGGTGGCCATTCTCCGCCAAAATGAAATGCATCACAGTTCATCACAGTGGGCATACGCCATCAAATCTCCTCCGGCCTTGAAGTCATTGAGTTGCACCCTGGCCTAAGTCTGCCACAGCAGTTAGGTTGCACAGCTGTCACAGCAGTGTGTGAGTGTGCAATTCGAGGGCTCAGGTTTGATCAGTCTGTGGCTCCTGGCTATCTTCCACTGTCGGCCGCACCTCACGATGGCCTCAGGCTGCTGGCTGGTATGGCCATGGAGTGAGAATCGTACCCTTGAGTAGCCCAGGGCTGCAGCTTGACAACAAGTTCGGCTGTCCTTCAAGAGTGTTTGTTAGTCAGGCTGGGATTATGGTGCCTTCTAGGGAAACCTCAAGAGCAGGCCTGTCCCATGTTGCTGCCACATTGAATTCAATGAATGGGGGTGGATACATTCTGTCGGATACCTTCTGTCCTTCTGCACAGCGAGTCTTGCAGCAGCCTGGCCAGGACGGAAATGATGCACAGTACCAGCAAGGAACCGGAGCACAAGGCAAATAGGCTCCAAGCAAAGTCGATCTATGATGTAAGTCAAGACCAAGCTCACCCGAAAACAGTTCAAAAACCACACAGGTAAAGGTTTGGGAAACGAATCGCTTGACGCCTCAAGCTGGTCCAGTGCAGCACGCCAGGCGTAAACGCGAGCTTCTTCCTGAAAGGCCTGATGGGGCTCAACCCACTGCAGGTGAACCCGTGCAACTGGTTCCACTCAATACCAAAGCAAAGTGCCATCCTTCGTGTGTGGAAACCAAAGCTGACAAGATTTCTGCGCATGGTGGCAACACGTCCGAAATGACTATGTGATACTTTTGTGTCCCCATCTTGACCTGGAAAAAGCATGTTCAAAAAGGGCAGCTGAACTATGAGTTTGTGGAGTTCCAGAAAATTGGCGCTCCTCACTCGTTTTGCTTTCTTTCAGGGCTGGGCCTCAAGCAAGACAATTGTACAAAGTCAGCCTTCAACGCATCAATCGCAAGAGCCGTGTCGCTCCTGCAGCCCAAGGACAAGGGTTTTCTGACTTGAATTGAACAACAAAGCAAATGCAACTAAGATGAGAGTGCGACAAATGAGCTGACTGCCAGTGATGGCAAAGGTGTCGCATGCCAGCGCACAAATGCCATAGAAATCTGCAGGGCAGCTTTCTATTCAAGAAACTGCAAGCATCAAGGAGCATGCATATTCTGGTCCTGGTGGCTGTGTAAGCAGACGAACTTCCACCTTTCTACCCGCACCCTGTCCATGCTCAGGGCACGAACTCTAATCGCACACCACGGGCATGCTGCAGACATGGACTGAGCAGACCTGGGCACAAATTAAAGCCGCACACCAGCAAGCACGTGCAAGTTCCTCAGGCACACCTCTTGACCGCGCACCAGAAATACTGGGCACGAACCAAGAGTGCACACTTCCGAGGACTATCATGCAGGGAACATTGACACGTTTTGTGTCCAGGGTATGGTCTCAAAATTGTGTCCAAACTGCAAAGCGAAGACGCTCCACACGCACCATCATGAGCTAAACTCAGTGCTGCGCCCTCCAACTTCTAGTCCAAAGAGGAGGGAGTTGGAAGCTGAACGCTGGCCAGGTACTTCTTTTTGCGCTGGCGTTGATGATGGCTTCTTCGCTTTGAAGATGGGGGCTCATTAGGGTGATTAGCAGCTTCGGCAGCACTTGCCCCATGTGCAAGTTCTTCGTCCTCGTGTGCATCATCATGCCTGACCTCCACTTCTTGAATGCGGTTCGCTCGCAATTCTGGCTTGAAGGCAAAGCTCGTCAAGTTGTGCTTCACCTCTAGCAGGACGCTCATCCACAGCAACTCTGGGGCAACCGCTGCTGGCCAGTGTTGATGGCCAAACATATAGTCTTTGACTGCACCACCATGTCCAATCCAGTCTGCCGGCGGGCCGCACATCCCAATGCGAAAGACTTTGGCCGCAGTGGCGTCGCCTTCCCAAGCATCCACTGCAACTGCAACCTGCAAGTCTGAGCATTCTTTCAGACACAGGACCCGCAAAGTGTCTGGAAAGCTGCATGTCGCTTTCCGGATGGGATTTCCAGTCCTAGCATCCAAGCGGACAACAGCGCATTTGCAGGTCTCTTCTTGTTGGTCCTCACCAACAAGCTCGCACGCAACTAGAAGGCTGCGGCCGTCAGGCGAACAGGTCAGCTGAATGGAGTGCACACCACAATCCTGAATGGGCTTGGATCGCCAGATCACTTGCCCAGACTCAATTGCAATGTATGTAACAGTACACACGTCATCATCATCAACTTCAGCAACTTTCGACCCAGGGAAATCATCGTTTTGTTCACTTGAGTGGCCCCAGGCAGCGCATGCGATGAAGCGGCCGCCTGGGGAAAACTGTATCTTGCCTGCCGCGATGTTGTGGCGATTCAGCCTCTGTCCTGGCATCGGGCACTGCCAAATCACCTGTCCGGATGTGGTTGAAATGCAAGCTATCTCATCTCGGTACAAGTGTTTGGATCCGAAGCAAACAGCCAAATACACAGAGTGAGGAGAATGAGCCAAGGCAACAACGCGCTCATTCTGAGGCTCAATCCATACAGGTTCCACTCTTGTCCCGTCACCATACATTCGCAGGTAGACAAGATAGTCATCTCCTAATGGAAACTCCATGCCATCAAAGCCAAGAAACGGAATCCGATTCCAACCTACTGCTACAGAATGCCCGTCCGGCGATACACTCAAGACCTTGGCATCCAAAGCACTTGGATTCTGGAGAGACTCTGCATCCCAGCACCACATGAGCTCGCTGCCAGTCGCACCGAAGCAAATGACATAGCCACCTGTTTCTGGCTCGAGAGCTCGACGCTTGCCAGCTGTGGTCCCTAGAAAGCAATGAATGCCATCAGGTGAGAAAGCCTCAACATTCACTCCGTAGTTCATGCGAGTGGGCAGCCATTCATGAAGGTGCCTGCTCCACAATGTGGATCCAGATTCCAGGAGGTATACATGCCCATCGCCAGATCCCACCAGAGCCACCTCCGACGAGAGATGGGCAAGCTGCACAGGGTGAGCTTCGACATCTGCCACTGAAGGTGTCTTTGCCGGCGAGACCTTGTGGAGGATCACCTCGTCGAAACAACGGCGGAAGGCTTCGTCACAATCATCCCAATCACCCCACGTCTCAAGAAGCTGATATTCAAGCAAATCATGATCTGCATCACTGATTCGGAAACGTTCCGGAAAGTCCAGGTCGCTGACGCCATAGTTCATCCTGTCCCACACTCTCCAACCCTGCGAGTCTGAACCTGTATGGAGCTCGCCTGATGCGATCAGGGATCCATCCACTATCCTCCTTTCTTCGACTTCGCAAAGGCCGCTGCCAGACATCTTAATGATCAAAGCCACACTCCTTGTGCTATCGATCCATGTCCCCAGCAAGTCCTCCAGCGGTGCTGGAGGCTCAACGGATGGTAATTCAACCGCAGCAGACGAGGCCATGAAGTGCTGGAGTTCTGTTGCCTGCAAGCAGTCCCGAACCCTGGCAACTCCTTCTGAAGTGTTGTGAACCTCCAGCTTGCCACGTTTGAAATTCACAATGAGCCACTGGTGACAACTGCAGGCGCCCATGCTTTGTTTGAGCCACTGGTTTCAAGGAAAAACAAGCACTTGCTGCTCGCTCAAAACTGTTATCGCTGATCGGATCACAATACAGCTCTCAGAATTTATGGGAGTGCAAAACATTGGCAGCTAAGAAGAAGTACGGGCCCGCCAGCTCGGCAGGCTGCAGCTCACAACAACTTGCCACCCCAAACTGGGAATGTAAAACTGGCACTAGAAGCAGATAGTCTTTCGCTGTCAGAGGGCCTTTATATTTGAATGCCTAGACTCGGCTCCATCGACCAGGCTTGAACTACATTCAGTTTGTTTTTTCCTTTTGCCTTTGACTTGAGATCCTGCTCCGGCTTGGTGCCAAGTTGACCAAAAGGCAGAAATCAAACGGCATCTGTGGATGGTTTCCAATGCATGGTAAAGCAATGAAAGCTGCCAGCGCCGTCGTGACTTTTGCTCACGGCAAAGCACTCCGCCACCGGCTACTCAGTCTGACCCTCTACCAGTGCCCAGGCAGGTGCCTGGAGGCTCAACGACAACACTGGTAAACTTTTCACAGCTATGCCACTTGCCATGTATAAAGTTAGATATCGTGTTCACTCTATATATATATATATATATGCACGCTCTTTTTGCTGCTGGAAACAGCAACTCGCCATGGCTCAGCTAGCTTGAGCTAGAATCGAAGGGGCCTTGGATGTGAAGCTGCTGCCATCGGGCAAGGCGTAGGTCAGAGCATGAAGGAAAATGCCGCCTCAGCTTCTCTCACAGTCAGGTTTGGCAAATGTCCGAATCCACCAAAAGCCATCGAGGCACTTGGGTGCATGGTCGCAGCCTCCTTAGTGTTTCCCAAGTATATCTCGGGTTGATCGGCAAGCTCAACAGCAAAGCTGCCTCTGGTTCTGCAGCTTGCTTTGTTTCGAGGTGGGCCTGGCAACTTTCTATCGACCTTTCACCATGAATAATGAGCCATCTCCCCGCTCCCCAACCTCCTGTCGAACATGAGGAATCAATGGCAAGGTGCAGTCCTTGGTTGAGCACATGTGAATTGTGGAGAATGCGAGTGCTCACCTCAAATGGGTCAGAGGGACCTTTCGGGGATGCCACAAAACACGGGACTTGGCAGAGGCATGATGGTCAGTACTTCTATATTACATAAATGTAAAGGCTCTAAATCATTTCATGTTGGGAGAGTCTTCAGACTTCCTCCTACTGTTGCAATGGGGCTGCATCGACATCATAGTGTTTCCGTGTCAGCTGAGCTGGGGCTTGCCACATCGCGAAGGTCCCCTCCGTAGCAACCTTAAGCCAAAACAATGGCACACCCTTGAGAAAGAGCTCATGAATTGTGCTGAGCTTGGGGCTGTCGTTTGCAATTGGAAAACCCAAATGAAGAAGGTGCACTCCTCAGAGCATTGAAACATTTGACCTCTGTGATCATCTGTGTACGCTCAAAAAGTAACAACAAGCGCTGAACTGATCTGATGCGTTCTTCCTGTTGCAGGAAAGCATCGCACCTAAGCCGTTGTTGCACAATCAATCCTTATGCTCCATCCACCCAATAGCCATGGCCTCTAACCTAATAGCGATGGCCTCCAACCTAACAGCAATGCTCCATCATTCCCTTCTTCCGAGGATGAGTCCACAGATTCATTGCCGGACATGCCAACAAACTCAAACTCCGTCGCCGCATCCTGGCATCGCTTCGGTGCCGCCTTGCTTCCTTGCAAACTACTTCCTTCAGCGATTGCGGTTCCATTCTGATGTCCTTAGCATCCTCACCCTCTGCAGTTTCAGCAGCAAAGGTATACTTTCCCACCTCTCAAAAAGCTGAATAGAATGCAAAGTATTGCACAGCGGTCCAAAGCTTCCCGCCTTGCGGTCAATACAGCGGATGTAGCCTTCGACCTGAAGTAGGCCACAAATACAGGGCCTTGTGGCAGGCACGCCTTGTGTGCCGCTTTTTCAACCAAGTTTGCGGCACGCAGTCGTCCGCTTGTTCGAGTGACCCCTGGCAAGTCACCTGCACTGTTTGAGCTTCAAGCTGAGCTACAAAAAGCGTCTCACAAGGCACCGGCCTGAGTCATCCAACAGCTTTTTGAAGCAGCCTTTCACTCGTGCCAGATATGTCTTTCGAATCTGATTGGCAGCAAACCACGCTCCAACCTCGGCGTCTTATTTCTGCAACTCGGACATGAATGTCCAACTTGCCCAAGAACACACAAATCTCTGCGTGGGGCTCTTCTTGCAGCTTCTTTGGTCTTTGCCTGACACCCAAAAGCCATCAAAACCTCCAAACCTCCACTGAGGAGTCGATACAGTCGATCAAAGTCAATCTGCACGGACAGCAGGGACAGGTGGTCGAAGCAGGTCGAAGCTGTGGCCCCGACCAAGAGCACCAGTCCACTAGTGAGGCGATCAAGACCTCATGCCCGTCGGGCTGTACATCCGATCCCACGAGTTGCTCGGTACATGAGTGCCAAAGCGGTGCTTGGCCCGAAGCGGTGTGTTGTGTGCAGTGTCGCGTCCGCCTCAATTCAGCGATGATTAGGAGCACTGATGCTTTCATGAGTGCAGACCTCGACAGTTTGCTGATCACGAAGAATGGCGATGAGGGAGTTGAAGCCTGAGAATTATGTATGCAATCCAGCTGACCATGCCAAAGCACGAGCATGGCATAATGCGTGCTATTGAGGTTTTGATGTTGGGCAAAGCACGGTAGCTTCCACAAGGATGTATTGGCAACGAGCTGGGCTTGTTCACCACAAGCAGCTCCTGCACAGCGTTTGCAAAGCAAAAGCCATCTGAGAACCTGCGTAACTGTGAAACCCCATGGCCTGCGTCTCAGCAACCACCTCCAATACAACAGTACTGTTAGAATTGGCTACAGTAGACGCACTGCCGCACTGCCCTTTGAAAACTGTTGTCGCTAAATCTTGGCCTGGATGGGGCCCCGATCAAGGACAGGGTTTTCTCGGCATCGCACAGCACGATGAACCTCAGAAATTGTAGAACAAGATTGATCAGGGTCTCTCTCATTGACTCCGACCATGGCATCTCAAACAACATCTCGGTGTGCCCTTCGAATCTCAGTCTCTCGAGGATCTGACGATCAGTTGCCCGTCTCGCAGAACATGCTCTGATTTCACCGCTTGTCCATCAACAGTTACACGGCCTGCTGCAATGGATGCCTGGCAGCTCCCAAGATCTGGTGGCGTGCAGTATGCCCCCCAACAAAAAGGAACAATTAACTGGAAGCTCTAGCACGTCCGATCATAAATGTCTGCAGCAAATGTATTGCATGTTCAGATCGCTTATTTAATTTGTTTTTGGTTGGCGCTGCCATTTTGGTAACTCACCACTTTACATACTCAAACTCCCAACCTCGTAGTAGTCGCGAGGAAATGCGACAAACTCGCAGGCGCAAACCTGCAGGCTTGTGGCAATAGAACTGTTTCTGAGTTTTAGGAAAATCAACAGCCTCTAAGAGTGTTCTGCCGACCCATCGTTGCCTCGCAAAGAGAACTATCAGGAATCAGGAACTAATATAATTATCATTGTTCAATTTGATGTGTACATCACTTCTCCCTGGTGAGGTGTTGGCTTGACGTGAGTAGTGAAATCGAAGTCATAGGGCCTTATGTTCAGCCAGTGCTAAACAGGATCCACATCTGAATCAAAAACTGCCGCGACTTGAACCTTCTGATCTGCCAAATATCCCCAAAGCAGCTGACTCCACATGCCGAAGACCACCTTGCAGCCTGTAGGTCACCTAAAACTGGGTCGTGTGTGTGCAAGAACGACAGGGTATTTCTCTGGCGACACGAACGTGCTCAGGACCCTTGGAGACACGGCCTGACGACGAAACACAGAAGCTCAAACCACAGACCGTGCAAGACCTACAAGTGACGGACCACATCAAGCGGACCTCGCTTTGTTGGCTGAGATGCTGCTGGAGTTGCCTGGCGATGACATCAACTCAAATCCATGCAGGCATATACATATGTATACTGTATATACATGATGTCTCTTTTTGCAAGCCCAGTCTGGGTCTGGGACTATCTTACCTTCAGTCCCATCCTGTCCTGCAATGCAGTGCAAACTTTACACCCGTCCGATTCCAGAGAATCATAGAATAGAATGTCAAATCGATCTGTGATTTGGTTGTCACCTGCCAGACATAAGCTCAGCTCTCGACTGGTGTGAGGACAGTTAGCTGCATCTTTGGCCTGCATCAAATGCGGTGACAAATTTGCCCGCAGCACTGCAGGTGTGAGAAAATGTTCAGTCTCAGTCTATAGCCTCCAGCTGTTTGGAAACGACACGTGGGTGACATGTGAAAAGCGAAGGGATACATGTCATTAGAATATCCGAGGATTATCCTGGACAAGGCGGTGGATAAAGAAAAGCGGCGTGGCCAAGCAGTGGACAAGGCCCAGACAAGGCTGTGTCAGACAGACCCGAAGAAAGCACGGCCAAGCAGGACACACAGAACCCGGCCACAGGTTTAGGAGGACACCAAGAAGGCAAGAAGGGGGCACAGGACAAGAAGAGGACAACAGAAGGAGGACAAGACCCGCGAGCACCAGGAGGACAATAAGAGGACAAGAGGAGGACACAACTTGGCCAGCGCGGCCAGAGGACAACAGCAGGTCAACTACAAGCACCAGGAGAACAAGAGGAGGACAAAAGGAGGACAAGCCCCGGACACAGCAATCAGGGGCGCGGCCAAGCCACTGTGGCCACTCTTTTTCTCCTAAGAGAGAGCCCCAACAGTAAACTGTTTGGGGAATCCGCCCACACCGCTTGTCGGTGCAGGGCGTGCTATTGGGGCTCTTGCCGTCGAGCTCTGCACTTTCGCGAAAACATCCTATGCATATGGCTCTGCTAGGGGGGGCCTCGGCCTTTTTTTTCGCGCGTGCGTGGCTATGGTTGAGCTGCAGGGCCACTGGGGAGAGCGTTTTGGAGGTACATGCTTGGATGAGTTTTCGTTACATTGTGCTTGCAGGGCCACTGGGGAGAGCGTTTTGGAGGAGT